CAAAATTATTATGGACCTTAAAGATACTTTTGAACTTAAAAGTAGTTTTCAGATGAATTATAAACTATTCTTTTTGCAGTAATTCCATGATTGCAAATAAATAAGAATAAAATCTCCCCTCAACAACAAAATCATTCCTCCCAGTTTACTAGTTTCCTTTTGGAATTGTACTTTTATTTAACCTTAGGGATATCTGGGAATAAATTACTAAAATGTTCTCCCCCATGATCATAATGGTTTGAAAGAAAAATAAGTGGTTAAAATGTCTTGTGGTACATTAATAAGTCCTTGACAAATAAGCAACTTACTAATGCAATTATATATATGCATATTTATAAGTAGTATTTTTTAAATGTTGTTAAATTTTGCCCTAAGCTCAATTACAAATCTTCTCTATTTTGATTTACCGCTCTGCTTAAATTATTTGAGCCTAATTCATTCTTAACCAATAAGAACTAACAAATTTAGTAAGTAGTTAATTAACAACACTGTTTTCTTAATAAGGGGAGAATCTCAGTCATTAATTTCTTGTCTCACATTGTTCCATCTGAGACCATCGTGGAATGTATTCATAGACTAAAAGGATTTTTAAAGCAAACAAACCAACCAACAAATACTGGTCTTAATAGGCTTAAGCATACATTTCCTAACGGTGGCAGAATATGAACATCCTCAGTGACCTGAGCCCCCATTATCACAAGCTAAAGAAGAACTATTTGAATGAGATGAAGTGTAAAACTTACAGGTGGTAGTACCTAAACACGTTTTCTAAGAATCTCTCTGTATGAAAGCAGGACACAAGGAAAACACATTAAATTCAAGGATTTTCCCTCCACATATGAATCCAGAGCCCCTGTTCTTGTGAGGTTAACCTTTAGCTCTGTCCCCACCATCTGTCAGCTGTGGGAACTGCAAGTAATTAAACTATTCAGACACCCACAGCAATGAGGACACTCATTAGCAAAATGAACAAAGGGCCAGTTCTGGGCTGCCACGGCCCTGTTACACTCTGAGTGGCAGGTTTTGTGGTGGCGTTCCTCCTGCCATCTGCCCACACCGCTAGTTTTGGCTTGCTTAAACCATGAGACTTCTTTAAGATAAACTACATTAATAAAACAAGGTTAGGAAGGATAGAGATCATCAAAAGGTGGTTAACTGGATATAGCTATTTAAAAACCACATTTACTCTAAGAGAGATTGTTTGTGATCCACAATCATTCTGGAATTTTAAATTTATGAAGGAACTTGTCAATCTCAAGATTTTGATTACCATGTTATGAAAATAAGGACTTCAGGTGATGATCTATGTGCTATTTCTCTTGTGAATATTCACAAGATGTGCAGAATCACTGTTCCCAGGCTTCAGAATTCCAAACTGAATCTAGAAAGAACTGTTTCTGAAAACATATGTGGTCAGAAGCCTTGCTACTCAAAGCATGGTCCACAGACCAGGAGCCTCAGCATCTCCTGGGAACTTAGTGGAAATGCAGACTCTCAGGCTCCAGCCCAGATCTACTAGGTCAGACTCTGTATCTTAACAAAATCTGCAGGTGATCCCTATGAGCAGTGAAGTCTGAGAAGTCCTGGTTCAGAGCCTTTTATGTTCCTTCTCAGTAGTTTCCCTTCTGCGATACGGGTGTCTCAAATCTGCAGACTGTGTGTAGTATGAAAACATCTCAATTTGATGTTGGGGGAGGAGTGGGGTTCTGATGCACATGCACTCCTCATGGCAGTCACAGAGAAGAGCAGGTGCTTTCCCAATGAGTGACAAGCAGGAATGTGGCACACTGGGGCAGCACAGCCCTGCAGAGCTGTCACTCTTGAATGATGGCTCTGTTTCAGAGCTGTCCAACAAGCAGATACGTTCACCAATGGAGAGTGGGTGGGTGATGGTTGCATTACTCATCCACGTTGGGGTAAGAAAGAAAAAATGAAAAGTCTATTCAAAATGACAGTTCCATTTGAAATTAAAACACAAGTGCAGACTCTCTCTCTCTCTCTCTCTCTCTCTCTCTCTGACAGGCTAACCTCCTTTATAAATTCTCAAGGGGATTAGTCAACAGACAGCTTGGTAACCTGAAAACTACAATGGTATGCAGCTAAATCACATTGGTTTCCCACAGAATAAAACCTGAAAATCTCATCCCTTGAATGAAGTTGCTGTCGGAAAAATTCAACATTAAGGATGTTCTCACCTGCAGATGAGACTTCTGTAATTTGAAGAGCTTCCTTTTCTGCTTTCCATTTTGTCACAAATATAATTTAAACTAGATGTTTATTAAACTTTCCCTTTCCTATTACATTCTTATCAGATTTCTCTCAGAAACAGTCCCAGAGAGATATTATGATGACTTATTAACTATACAGCCATTTATGTAATTTGATTATCAGTAAGAATAAAGTAGATAACTTTAGATAAACTAAATAAAGCTCATTTGTTTCAAGGTTTTTCAAGTTATTTCCGTTGCCACTTTGATATTTTTTGTTGTGTTCCCAAATTCGGTGCTCTAAATCTAATTCCAGATACTTGGTGCCTCAAGGAGTTTTTTTATACCACTAGAGGGGGCAGTTGTATAAGATGAAATTTCAAATAAAAAAGATCATCTACAACTTAGTTGGTGTGGAGTTTTAGGAAAATTCATTATTAAATGATTAAAAAACATATTTTCCATAGGTTTATTTAATACAACCCGTTATCTGCTTTTGTGGCATTCATGTCTGTGTTCTTGAAACCCACAATATTACACTTTGCATTACCCACAATCAGGAGGGGAAACCAGGGCCGTACCTTTTGTTGGGGTCCCTGTAGGAAAACCTGTACACCTCATCAATCAGAATTACCTCTCCTCCCTCAAATCTTAGGGTGTTTACAGAAATTCTGATGTGGTCTCCCTGGGGGCAAATTACAGTGGAAAAAACCCAGAGTATTTTCGATGGCTTCCTGAACCAGACCACAGCCTGCTTCCACATGGGCGTGGTCCAGTCTTCCGGCTGCTGCTGTCCTCACACGGCCATGGCCGTCTCATTCATTCATCTCCTTCTTTCCCCAAAACGTCCATACAGACCAGTTAGCCAGTTGAGAAGAACACTCAGAGGTATAAACATGTCAAGAATGTAAGGAGCTCTCTTACCAAGTTCAGATGTTCTTAACAGTCTAGAGGTCTGTTCAGTACATTTTATGGAACATAAACCAGATGGTCATCAGGACGTGTGTATTTCCTCATAATAACTGGAATTTATATACCAATCTTCTTTTAAAGAACTCAAAGCAATCCACATTCAATACCGCAGGTATCCTTATCACAATTCTGTACCTTAGCTAGGCAGGTAATACTTTGCATTTCGCAAATGAGAAATAAATGAATCAAAAGTGCCTTGCCATATCTACACTGGATATTTTTGGCCAAGGCAGGGTTAAAAGTTTCCTATCACAGTTTTTAGTTTTTTCCATTAAATTATTTTCACCAAAAAATAACAGTAGATATAGGCCCAGGAAAAGGCTGAAGGAAAGGAAATGCAAAAATTGATGTGCCTCCTATGCTGAGACAATCAGAAAATATAAAAAGAATTAATATTCAATTTTGTTCCATCTATGTTAATGACAATACTTCATTACTTAGAAAGTTCTCATTTTTTTTTTTAGAACAAAGAATTCTAATAGATTAACAAAGTAAACATTCCTTCGCCAGTTAGTAAACAAGATCCTTTAGAATGATTTGTGTTCCATTCCTCATCTCTTACAACCTTGGAGTTTTAAATAAGAACACTAGTGTGGGATTTAGAAAAACTACAGATTGCACTTAAAGCGACCAGCAACTCATATGTGTTTCTTCGTAGTGTCAATATTTTGCTGTGTAAATTCCCAGATTTCCTGTCTATTTATGAATATACATGTCGATATTTCCATGTGTATACATACACATGTATTAATATATTATACATTGTAATAATTTAATATATTATAATAACAATCTATACATTATGATATCATAATCTATACATTATATAGGTATATATTCATTACAACCTTTAATTCTTACTGTAGAGCATAAAGTTCCACCTCTTCTGTGGGCTCTGGTGTCAGGTGGACCTTGGTTCATGTGCCATCTTTACTATTTATTAGCTGTGTATGTGTGGGGAAGTTACTTAACCACTCTGTCTCTGCTTCCTCATCTGTAAACTGAGCTGTGAGAATGAGGAGAAATAATATTGATATATTATTGATATATACTAGTTCGTATTTATATTCCTCCTCATCCTGACATCTCTGCTAGCCTCTCTTAATTAAATAATCAAATTAAATAATTAGTTTCTTGCTCACAGATCCAAATAATAAAACTCTCTCTGACTCTGGACTGTGATTAGCCAGTGGCTTAGAGCTGACATGAGATAAAAATGAACTCGCTTTTAAGGTCCACACTTTCCAAAGCCCTTAAAATTCTCTTCCTTTACAGGAGTTTAAACCCTCCTATCTGTTTTCTTGCTCTTTCCATTTTTGTTCCCGTCAGTCCTTTGTCTAAGCAGTAAAGCAGCTCCTGGCTCCCATTCCAATAGACAGAAGGTGAGGGGTTTTCCTTCTCGACATTTTCATCTGAAGGTCATGTTGTTCCAGGTCGGCTCCTGGGAAGCCTCTGACTTGGACAGATTAGCTTTGTGTCTTTCAAACTATCTTGACTACAAAAATGAGTGGGAGTCTTTAGAATTACAACAAAAATCCACTTACATGCTCTTCTAGAGTGGGAAATTTTCTGCAGTGGGAGGTAAGTTATTTTATTTCCATTATAAGTAAAAATTGACAACAACTATATTGCTCCTATTTATAACTTTTATGAGTTTTCTAGAATACGTGGTTGAGCAGACAAGTGTTGGACTGGCTTATATTGTGGAGAAATGCCCAAGATGCACAAATTTAATTTTATTCATTCTTAACCCAAACTTTTGGATGCTTACAACTTTACTTACATATATTAAAATTAATTATTCTTTGCCTTGGAACTTACACGTTTTTGAAATCCCCATTCTTCGTATTGGTCTAGTTCTTCTCTTAATTGCTTAATAATTTCTTCTTTCTCTTTCAGTTTTCTTACCAAAACACCCATTTTGACAGCAGTTACATCTTGGAAAGATGCATTCGCTTCTTCCACCTCAAAGTATTGCTGGGAGGAAAAGCAGCATTAAAAATCAGACCCTAAGCTATCACCACCAGCAACTGTTTCATGTTTTATTTAAGCTGCTGTGAAGTTATATTACTTGTATAACTTGCAGACAATTTTTAGTAAATAGCCATATTTATGTTGAAATATATGCTAAAATATCATTCAATATAGCACAGCATATTCCTACAAAACACAAAGCATGATGTGTTATTCTAACTGCATCAGCCAAACAACAATAGGAAAGAGGTTCCCTGCTCATATCCGCCCCCAGCCACAAGAATTTGACAGTCATCCATGGACAAGAGTACCTTTGTGGGGGCTATGGGACCCAGGTAAGAGGTTGTGAAACTCTGGCAGAGCCCAAAGCAGAGGAGGGCTGTTCTGAGAACCACATAGCAGCCTCTCTGACTGTGGTCCCATCTACAAGGCCATAGATAGCCTTGTCCCCCTGTGAACTCAGCTACAACTCTGTCTGGCCTTGGCCCTGCCACCAGAACCATATGCCAAGAAACCCAGGAGGAGTCACATCCACCTGTGCCACTGGTGACAGGCCCACTGGCCTCGTTTCAAGCTGTGGACCCTAAATTGGCCCTGTAACTGAGCTCTATCCCCTCTCTGCTGTGCTCTGGGACAGTTCTCCCTAACTTGACACCTGCAAGTAGCCATGCCCATCCACGCTCTTAGGCAAGCCCACTGACCTTGGCACCACAGCAGATCCTAAAACGGCACTGTAACTTGGCCCAGCCCCTTTCAGCTATGGCTTGAGAGCAGTCTTGTCCAGACAGGGAGCTGCTAGAAGACATGCCTCTCCATGCCCCGAGAAGCAGGCCCACCAATCTCGATCCCACTGTGCATCTTGAAGTGGCCCTGCAACCCAGCTTCATCCCTTCCCAGGCTTGGTCCAGAAGGAGTCCTGCCCACTCAGAGACCTGCCAGAAGACATGCCCATTCATGCCTCTGGAGGCAGGTCAACCAACATCAGTTCAACCACAGATCCTAAGTCAGTCCTGTGGTCTGGCTTCAGTCCCACTCATCTATGGTCCAGGGACAATCCTGCCCACCAGGGATGTGGCAGGAGGTGTGCCTGTCCATGCCCCTGGAGGCAGGTCTTCAGACGTCTATCTCAGCTGTGGAGCACAAAAAGCCCTATAACTCATTTCCAGCCCCTCTCAGTACTTCAGAAATGAAGGAAAGATACAGATATTCCTAGACAAACAAAAGCTGAGAGAGTTCCTCACCACTAGATCTGCCTTATAAAAAATGCTAATGAGAGTTCTTTGAATTTAAACTAAAGGATGCTAAGTAACAACATAAAAATGTATAAAACTATAAAGCTCACTAGTAAAGGTAAATGTATAGTTAAGTTCAGAATAATATAATACTGTAATGGGGGTGTATAAATCACTTTTCACTCTAGATTGAAAGTTAAAAGAGAAAAGTATTAAAAAATAACTAAAGATACAATAATTAGTTAATGGGCACACAGTAAAAAAGATGCAAAGTGTGTCATTAATAACAAAAATGTGTGGGCATGTAGTAAAAGTGTAGACTTTCTGTATGTGATTGAAGTTAAGTTGTTATCAACTTAAAACAGAATCTTATAACTATAAGATGTTTTATGTAAGCTCCATGATAAACACGAAGAAAAAACCTCTAGTAGATGCACAAAAGATAAAGAGAAAGGAATCAAAGCATACCACTACAAAAAATAAATAAATAAATCAACAGATCACAAGGGAAGATAGCAAGAGAGGAAAAAGAAACAAAGGAACTACAAAACAGTCAGAAAGCAATTCATAAAATGGCAATAGTAAGTCTTTACTCCTTACTATCGACAATTACTTTAAATGTAAATGGGTTAAATTCACCAATCAAAAGACAGAGAGGCTTAATGTATTATATTAAAAAACCAAAACCAAAAAAAACCAAAAAAACAAAGATCCAGTAATGTACTGCCTACAAGAGACTCACTTTAGCCTTAAAGATACACAAAGGCTAAAAGTGAAGGAACAGATAAAGATATTTCATGCAAATGCTAACCAAAAGAGAGTAGGGGTGGTTATACTTATGTCAGACAAAATAGACTTTAAGTTGAAATCTGTCACAAGAGACAAGGAAGTTCACTATATAATAATAGAGGGGTCAATTCATCAGGAGGCTATAACAATTGTAAATATATATTCACTTAACATTGGAGCACCTAAATATACAAAGTGAACAGTAACAGAAATGAAGGGGTAAATAGACAGCAATACAATAATAGTAGAGGACTTTTTTTTTTTTAACAGCAAGGGGATTACAACCCTTGGCATGGTGTTGTCTGCACTATGCTCAGCCAGTGAGTGCACCAGCCATCCCTATATAGGATCCGAACGCACGGCTTTGGCACTACCAGTGCTGCACTCTCCCGAGTGAGCCATGGGGCCAGCCCAGTAGAGGACTTTAATACCTCACATTCAACAATGGATAGATTATCCAGACATAAAATCAATAAGGAAACAGAAGACCTGAATAACATTCTAGACCAAATGGACCTAACAGACATATACAGAATATTCTATCCAACAGCAGCAAAATACACATTCTATTCAAGTGCACATGGAATATTCTTCAGAATAGAGCATTTGTTGGGTCACAAAACAAGTCCTAACAAGTTTTAAAAAACTGAAATCATCTTAAGTTTCTTTTCCAACCACAATAGTATAAAATTAGAAATCAATAACAGGTAGAATTTGGGAAATTTCACAAATACGTGGAAATAAAGCAACATGCTCCTAAACAACCCATGGGTCAAAGAAGAAATCAAAAGGGAAGTCAAAAAGTGTCTTGAGTCAAACAAAAAAGGAAACACAACATACCAAACTTAGGAGATTCAACAAAAGCAGTTCTAATAGGGAAGTTTATAGTAATAAATGCTTACATTAAGAAAAAAAAACTCAAATAAAAAATGTAACTTTATACTTTAAGGAACTAGAAAAAAAAGAACAAACAAACCCCAAAGTCAGTAGAAGAAGGGAAAAATAAAAATTATAGCAGAGATAAGTGAAATAGAGACCAGAAAAACAATAGAAAGTATCAACAAAATTAATAGTTGGTTTTTATTTTTTTATTTTATTTTATTTTTTTATTTAGTCGATATACGATGTGGTTGATTATTGTGGCCCATTTCCGAAACCTCCCTCCCTCCTCCCTCTCCCCCCTCCCACCCAACAATGTCCTTTCTGTTTCCTTGTCGTATCAACTTCAAGGAATTGTTGTTGTTATGTCTTCTTCCCCTCCCCCCGCGGTATTTTGTGTGTGTGTGTGTGTGTGTGTGTGTGTGTGGATTTATTTATTTATTTTTATCTCCTACCAATAAGTGGGAACATGTGGTATTTCTCTTTCTGTGCCTGACTTGTTTCACTTAATATA